CTGAGATGGCTATTCCTGCTTGTTTTTTTGCTTCCCATCAGCATGTGATAGCTTCTTGCATCCTTTCATTTTCAGTCTGTGTATCTTTGTTAATAAGGCATTTGTAGGCAGCAAATGGATGGGTCTTGATTTTTTAATCCACTCATCCGGTTGTATCTTTTAATTGGAGAATTTAGGCTATTTTATTCAAGGTTATTATTGAGAAGTAACAAATTTGGTTCTAGTATTTTTCCATGAATATCATTTGCTTTAGTTTTCCTTTGTACCTTTACTAGGAGATTTTCTGCCTTCACATTCTTTCATAATGATGAATATTTTTCACTGTCTCTATGTGTAGCACCTTCTTAGGTATCATTTGCAGGAATAGACAAATGGTGACTGATTCTTTCAAATACTATTTGTTTTATCTCACCTACATTTATAAGTGAAGGTTTTGCTGGATACAGTATTTTGAATTGACAAGTTTTTTGTTTGTTTTTTTTTTTTTTTTTTTTTTTTTTGACAAGCAGAGTTAGTGAGAGAGAGAGACAGAAAGAAAGTTATTCCTTTTCCATTGGTTCACTCCCCAAATGGCCGCTACGGCCGGTGTGCTGCGGCCAGCATGCTGCGCCAATCCGAAGCCAGGAGCCAGGTGCTTCCTCCCGGTCGCCCATGCGGGTGCAGGGTCTAAGTACTTAGGCCATCCTCCACTGCCTTCCCGGGCCACAGCAGAGAGCTGGACTGAAAGAGGAACAACTAGGACAGAATCCGGCGCCCCAACCAGCACTAGAACCTGGGGTGCCGGCGCCGCAGGTGGAGGATTAGCCAAGTAAGCTGCGGTGCTGGCGCCGGCTGACAGTTTTTCTTTTTTTTCTTTTAGAACTTGGGGACTATGTATCTCCATTCTATCCTGGCCTGTAGGTTTTCTGGTGAGAACTCAGCTGTCATTCTAATTGGAGATCCTTTGAAGATAATCTGGCATTTCTCTTGTGCACATTTTAGAGTCTTTTCTTTATGTTTTACTGTTGAAAGTTTGACTATAAAGTGTTGTTGTAAAGCTATTTTCTGATGACGTCTATTAGGAGATTTATGTGCTTGGTGTACTTGAATGTCCCTATCTTTCTCCAAATTATAGAAGTTTTTCGTTATTATTTCACTTAATAGGTCTTCTAATCCAATCTCTCTTTCCACACCTTCAGAAACTCCTAAGATATATATATATTTGGTCATTTGATAATGTCTCTCAAATACTATTTTCAGTTTTATTCTTTTTTTTTTTTTTTTGGTCTGAGGTATTTCCAAAGATTTGTCTTCTGGGTCAGATATTCTTTCTTCTGCCCACAAAGTCTATTGCTAAGGTTTTCCACTGTGTGTTCTATTTGCCATATTGAATTCTCATTTCAAATATTTCAGTTTGATTTTTCTTCAATATTTCTATCTCCCAGAATTTTTCATCCACGAATTTCTTTAACTTATATATTTGCTTCTCTGTGTTTTTGAATAATCTTATGATTATTCTTTTAAAATACTTTTCAGGAATTTAACAAATTCCTTAATTTTTATATTCTAATATTGAGCTTCTGACCCTTTTAGGGAATCATATTGTCTCTATGTTCATGTCCCATGTGTTTCTATGTTTATATTTAGGCTTTTGTGGAAACACTTGTTGGTTTTCTCCTTTGAGGGCTTTAACTTTGGAAATAATGCCTCTGTGACTTAATGGAGTATCTGCAACATCAGTGGATATTCAGTGGAGTATGCTGGGTAGGGCCACAGAAGTTCCAGGTAGTGCAAGGGTCTTGACAGTGCAAGAGTTCAGGTTGACACCTAAGTTGGGCGTGCTAGATCTCTGTGGTCAGCAGTGCTATCAGTTATTGGCTGACATGATCACAGTTTTAACAACTCTCTACCAATGTGAACCAACCACCCAGAGTGAGCACACAGTGGTCTGTAACCTCACTCACAGAGGCACATGTACCACCCAAAGGATCTTTGTGCTCTTCATTGTAAGCACAGAACCCTGAACTTCTCAAGCTAGATGAAATGATTGCCCAAAGACCCAGCCACACCCTATGACATGCCTTATAGGAATCACAGAAATCTCACAGTTACAGATATTTAAATCTCCATTGGTATTTTTCTATCATTGGAACGCCACACATCTTAATTTCTTTGCATTCATAAATGTAATGTCTCTACTTTCTTGTGGAATCTTGATAGTTTCACTTGGCTTAATGGCAGATGTGCTCTAGCTTCCACACTTGCTTAATTCCTAATCAATAGCGCAAATGATCTTTAAAGTTAGAAATCGTGTTATTCTATTCAAAGCCATTCTGTAACTTACTCATATGGTGAGAATAAAGCCACAGCCCTCGTACTGAATCTTCTGCGGATTCATCTCTGCTGTCCTTGCCCTTACTCTACTCCAGGCAGAGGTGCTCCCTGCAATATTCTAGAATGAGTCTTGTTCCCCCGATTCATTGTTTCCTCATTCTGTAGTCTCTTTATTGTAATATAATCTTCTCAGTGTTTTTTTCCCATAGCATCTTTTTCCCATAGCATTTCTTTTTTTTTAAGATTTTCATTTATTTATTTGACAGGTAGAGTTACATACAGTGTGAGAGAGTGAGACAGAGAGAAAAGTCTTCCTTCCGTTGGTTCACTCCCCAAATGGCCGCCACAGCCGGTGCTGCGCCTATCCGAACCCAGGATCCAGGTGCTTCTTCCTGGTCTCCCATGTGGGTGCAGGGCCCAAGCACTTGGGCCATCCTCCACTGCCTTCCCAGGCCACATCAGAGAGCTGGACTGGAAGAGGAGCAACAGGGACTAGAACCCGGTACCCATATGGCATGCCGACTCCACAGGCAGAGGATTAGCCAAGTGAGCCACAGCGCTGGCCCCAGGTTACTAGTTTTCATTCATGATGGTATTCCCAATGTTTAGTGTACAAATCTTACAAATCTTGGGGGGCAGCACTGTGACATAGCGGGTAAAGCCACTGCCTGCCGTGCTGGCATCCCTTATGGACGCCAGTTCAAGTCCCAGCTGCTCCACCTCTAATCCAGCTCTCTGCTATGGCCTGGTAAGGCAGTGGAAGATGGCCCAAATCTTGGGGCCCCTGCATCTATGTGAGAGACCCAGAAGAAGCCCCTGGCTCCTGGCTTCAGATTGGGGCAGCTCCAGCCTTTGGAGCTCTTTGGGGAGTGACCCAAATCAAAGACCTCTCTCTGTTTGACTCTGCCTCTACCTCTCTGTAACCTTGCTTTTCAAATAAAATGAATACTTCTGTTAAAATAATTTATAAATCTTACAAATCTTGACATATATATTCTCAATAAATATTTTATTCATTCAGCAAACAATTACTGAGCTTATGTTATATAGCAGATACTTTCCTGGGTGCCACAGAATAATTGGTAAGCCAAACACAGAAATCTTAACTTGAACTGAAAACTTTCCTACCTTTTTCCATAATTTCCTTATATTATAGAACTTTTCTATGTTCAGATATGATTTTGAGTTAGAAATAATCTGAGGCCATATGCATGAGCCCAATTTTATTCCTTCCTGTATTTAAATAATTTTAATAAGATTCAAAATTCCAGCTTCCAAGTAGGAGTGTTTTTCTTTCCTATTTTCAAAGCAATGCTCCATTATATTCTTTCCTCCAGATTTGTCCAGAGGTTTGATTTTAATCTCTTTGTCCTTTTTATGTATCAGATTCCAAAAATATCACCATACATTCTCCTAATAAAGCAAAGTTAAGTTCATTAGAATTCGAAGTATTGAGAGAGAATATCACCTGTAATTCAGTTTCACAATGTCTCCAAAGGAGACGGTCAGGGTAAGAAATTTCAGGAATTTTTGGTGTGGTCTCAAGGGGGATTTAAGTTATGTCTTTCCACATGGGAAAAATGATAAGAATTGACACTATTTTTAGCGTGATAATTCAAGATTAGTGGATTTAGTAAGATCAGGGTTCTGAAGAGTCTTGACAAGTTAACTATTATTTAGGAAAGGAACTGTTTGCCCAAGTGAGCAAAATGTTATCTTAGATAAACAAATATGCAAGAATTTATTGATGTGAATACTGAAATAGTGTAATCATTGTTGGTTTACAATCATCTTTCCTGGGCAAAGTCTTTCTAGAACAAACAGCTAATTAATGTTGATACAGCTATTCCTAATGAATCATGTGGTTGCAATTCTCATAAGGTTTATCCCTGCCTTGTTTAGGATTTATCTATAAAGGAGTCATACTTACAAATTCTATGTAGCAGTATGGATTCTCTCAATAAGAGGTCTTATATCCTCCTTTAAAAGAAGATATATTTATGTATTTAAAAGGTAGTGTTACAGAGAGAGAAATCTTTCATCTACTGGTTCACTCCCCAAAAGACTACAATAAATAGGGCTGGGCTAAACTGAAGCCAAGAGGCTGGAACTCCATCTAGGTATCCCATGTGAGTGGCAGGGGATCAAGCATTGAGCCATCTTTTGGTACTATCCAAGATACATTTGCAAGGAGATAGACCAGAAGTGAAGCAGCCAAGACTCAAACCAGCACTCCTATGGGATGCTAGTGCTGTAGGCAGTGGCTTAACCTACTGCTCCCCCTTGTTATGATTACAAACATGGTTGCTCATTATTACTAAAAATATTTTACTTATTCCATTATTTTATTGTCATGTCTCAAAATTGTTATTTTATAGATGCCAGTCCCAGTACTTCCAATCTCTATTTCTTTTAACTTTTGCATTTTTTACAAACTGTAGGAGTTTCATGATTAGTTTGTTGAGTCATTCTGCTGTTGTTCCACGATTATCTCTAATTAATTCTTGATGATTCCTTATTTCTGAGTTTTTTCCCCTCCATCTTCTTTTATAATTTTGTAGAGATTGATATGCATATTTTGTTCTCCTGTTATCTGGTACATTAACTCTACTTCCTCTAATATAAGATACTCAAACTACTTTCCTAGGATGTCTTGTATCTTTCCCTCTGTGCTCATATTCCTTCAGGATCCACAAATGACTGAAGTTGCATGCCTTCCTGAAGATTTTAGGCAGCAGTGACTAGTGATGTATTCCAAAGCTGTGAGCTACACATGTCTTGATTTATACAATACAATTGTAATTCCTCATATAGTTGAGAAGAGCCCAATGTTAAAGATGTTCACAGAAGAAAAACAGGTAAACAATGAAAGCATTTTACACAGGCTAATTCATAGCTCAGTAGATATTAACTAGAAGTGATAAACAAATTCTAGGCAAGTGGTTAAAGCAATTTGACCCTATTTGTTTTGTCCTTTTACCTAAAATTGCAGTGCAGTAACTCCAAAATTATAGCCAGTAAGTCATGTATTCATTCCTAAAATTTGGGCACTGGTGCAAAACCATATGTCACAATCACTAAATACAGAGTCAGTCAGAAATGTTCTAATTCCAAGAGATCCACAAGGTTTATGAAGATGCATAAAAAGGACCACAAAATCTTGCTTGAGAGAAAGTGAGAAAAACCATCAAGGCTATGATACTACAGATAAGATTTTAAAACTTGGAACTAGTTGCTAGGGTCTTAAGGGGCGGAAAGGCATTCAACTTATAAAGAGCAGTGTGGGGAAAGACAGTGAATTGCAGGAGCCAAATAGTTCAGTACTTCTGTCAGTATAAAATAAAGTATGCCAGGTTAGTGCTGAAACAGATCATAGAGGGGCTGATATTCCATGACATGTCAACGGTTTTCCTGTAAATTATTATCATAAAGGATAAATAAGAAGGATGCAAGAATACCACCAGTGAGATTATTTAGAAGAGTATTGCTGCAGCTGACATACAATCTGATATGATACGGCGATAAAGTAACTCAATCTTTCAGAGAGAAAATGCTATTGAGTAGTTAAAATGTAGCCAGTAAGACAAGAGAAATTCTTCTTCCTATTATTTAATTTTTGTTCATTCACATTTAAACAGCTACATGTAATTAATTGCTACCATATTGGACAGCACAAGTCCAGAATTTGAGAGAGTTGTGGCTGGCAACATGGATTTTATGGCATAGTTTTAAAGATATGTTTAGGTTTTATGAAACATTTTCAATAACAAGTAATGAATAAGGAGAGTGGCATATAAAGAAAAGAGCCACAAGAACATCTCTCATAATACCAGCATCTCAGCTTTGGACAAAAGCAAAAGTGTACTTCTGAACTACTAAGAGCACGGTTTGCTGAGGTAGGAGGTACAGCATTAGAGAAGAGTATTCTAGAACCCAGCACAGAGCAAGTTCATGTTGATATTAAGAGGCAACTGAAAACAAGAGTACCATTAGCCCCTGAAGAGTTGAATGTATCTCATAAGTAGCAGAACACAATTGAGAAAATAATTTTATTCAACAATAAGGATAAATCTTATGTTCTAGATTGTAAATAGAAGATGAGCTTCAAGTTTACCATATTTTCAAGGATGGGAGAGAGAAATTACCATTGTCACTTAGAAATAAATAATAACTGTGATAATTAAGTATATTTGTGATTTGAAAGGAAGGATTTGGTTTGCAGATGGAGATTCCAGGTTTGAAAGAACAAACGGTTGTAAAGAGCTAGAGAAATAGGAATGGATGACAACTCAGACAGTAGGATTTAGTTGCTGGAGGGAGGAGAGATCATTTTTCCTTTGAAACTTAAAGGAAAAAAAGAGAGAGAGAGACCAGTGCATACTTTCTAGCTGTCAGGGTGCACATTCAAACTTCGCTAAATGTACTTTCTAAAACATATGTTTTCTAAATCCTGTGAGATAAAAATCCAGCTAATTAAAATTGCTTGCCCTGCATATGGCAATATCCTCAATGTGTATTTTAAAATGGAGGTATTTAGTGTTTAGATTTAGATTTGATGCTAGTTAAATCCTAAGGAACTTCAGTTTCTAAAAATAATTTGAAGAATAGTTTCCTTATTTAAAATCCTAGTATGTCATAGTGTGTTAGTTGATGAAATAAGTTTTTTTTTTATTGTTGCTGTTATTGTTGAGTTATTGTTGAGTAAAATAACCTCATCTTTAGATATGTCACTAAAACATTTTTTTTCAGAGACCTCTTTTTTTTTTTTTTTTAGATTTATTGATTTTACTTGAAAGTCAGAGTTACACAAAGAGAGGAGAGGCAGAGAGAGAAAAAGGTCTTCCATCTGCTGGCTCATTCCCCAATTGGCCACAATTGCCGGAACTGCGCCAATCTGAAGCCAGGAGCTTCTTCCAGGTCTCCCATGCGTGTGCAGGGGCCCAAGGACCTGAGCCATTCTACTGCTTTCCCAGGCCATAGCAGAGAGCTGGATGGGAAATGGAGCAGCCGGGTCTTGAACCAGCACCTGTATGGGATGCTGGCACTTCAGGCCAGGGCCTTAACCCGCTGCGCCACAGCGCCAGCCCCCACTAAAACATTTTAAAGGAATTTAGTAACTCATTGTGCTTTTACAGTATTAGAACAAGATAAAAATGTTAGCAATTAATTTTGATGAGACTAAGTCACAAAACATTTCAGTCAACATGTGGCATTTTGGGGCAAAACTTGTTACTACTAAAAGGTACATAGAAGGAAATTAGAAAAGGATCTGAGATAGAGAGTGATAGCAAAAATCAGAGCCTTATGCATTTATGTGAAGTAAGTGTTATGTCAAAGATTATCAAAGTAACATGCTAAAATAATAGTAAGAAAAATGAATTGAATTGAATATGAATGAGTGATCTAGGAGAATGTTATTTCATGTCAGATTCCAGAGCAAGTACAAATGAATGTTTGTGTAATAGTGCCCTAATAACTAGGACTGTGTCTTACTTTGTCATATCAGACTTATGAATCCATATCTTTTATCATTGAATTATGGAAGAAAAAGAAAGAAAAATTATTTTTGTGAGAAATTCATTTTAGCATACTGAAGAGCAGAGGTTTCTATATATTTTTTCTTTATTGTTTTTGAAACTCAGAATCATTTTTCTACTGCATAACCAAGCTTTCCTTCAGGGAATATGCCTTCAGAGTCAAACTCTTCTTGTTTTCTTGTATATCTTTATGTTGCTTGGATAATTGTCCTTTTCATATTTAGTGAAAACTTAAGATTTATCTGGAGATCATTGTCAAATTGTAGCTCTACCAACATTTTTGTTTCTTAAAATCCTCAACACATTGGAGAAAATAAATTTTATGTTATTTATAAAGTGACAGTTCAGGATTTGAGATTTTTCCCATCATTCCGTATCTTGTTTCTGAGTCTTTGAAACATAGCCTGATGACACAAACAGTTCCCTCCTAGAGTCCTAAAGGAGACATTGAAAAGAAAAGATCTGTTATTTTCTGCATTCCTCTTGCTGCATTCAGGAAGTACATTCTGCAAGGGCAAGGCCAGGAACAGGCTTTGATTTCAACATTTAAGGTGGAATATTGCTACACTTGAGTCCCGTGCTCCTTCAGACTTCCTGTCCAATGACAGTTCCATAGTTGCTGATAAGTGTGTCAGCACAGGGCACTCTGTGAGCCTTATCAGCACTTTCCACTTGCTACTGCATTCATGTAGCACAGTTTTACAATATTAAACTTGATTTTTGTCCTTTTGTTACTATCCACACATCTCAAGTATTCAAAAAGGACAAGTGTAGATACTGAAAAATTATATAATCTTTTTTCCTTTTTCAGTTTAGCCAGCAGTTTCTCTCCATTATCTTTAATATGTCTGTCTTTCTCTATGTATAAGTTGTAATATACCATTGTAAATATTTAAATATCATTTGATGCATTTAAATTTTGAATATATTTAGAAGTGGATAGCATCATTAATGAAATTAAACAAATGAAATAAAATAAAATTAGCAGTTCTATAGGCTGATTATTTTTAAAAAATCTTTATTTCAAAAGTAGAGGGAGAGAGAGAGAGGGAGAGAGAGGGAGAGAGAGAGAGAGAAAGAGAGATCTTCTATTCTCTGATTCACTCCCCAAATGGCCAGGGCTGGGCCAGACCAAAGTCAGGAGCCAGGATCTTTATCTGGGTCTCCCACATAGGGATTGGGGCCCACATATTCGGCCATCTTTCACTGCTTTCCCAGGTGCATTGGCAGGGAGCTAGATCAGAAATGGAGAAGCCTGGATTTAAACCAATGCCCATAGGGGATTGGCAACTTGCTACATCACAACTTTGGTTTCTGGGCTGATCTTTATTCTTGGTAAAATCAAAATTCTCATGAAACTTTAGGGTTTTTTTTTTTTTTTAGTTTTATTTATTTTTTATCTGAAAGGCAGAGTTACAGAGAGGTAGAGGCAGAGAGAGAGAAAGTAAGAGAGAGAGGCAGAGAGAGAGAGAGAGGGAGAGAGAGAGAGAGAGGTCTTGCATCTGCTGGCGCAGTCCCCAATTGGCCGCAATGGTCGTAGCTGAGCCAATCGCAGCCAGGAGCCAGGACCTTCTTCTGGGTCTCCCATGCAGATCATCTACTGCTCTCCCAGGCCATAGCAGAGATCAGGATCAGAGGTGGAGCAACTGGAGCTCATACTAGCGCCTATATGAGATGCTGGTACTGCAGGTAGTGGCTTTACCCACTACACTATAGCGCCACCCTGAAGCTTTAGTTTAATGTGTGTACATGACTATGAATTTGTGAGTGAATCTAGGTATATTTTCACTTCAGCTTGTATGAGTATTTTGGGTACATTACATTAAATACTTGCTTCAAGCTAAAATAACTTTATTGGCAAGACACGTTATACATGCATGTCTTGAAAATTTCATGTATTTTCCTATGAATCATGAGTAATGACTATGTGAGATAATAGCATGTGTACTGCTAAATTGCTGCCAATCACCATCATTTTCAACCATTTAGACTATATTTTTGATAAAAATACAGCGAGAATGTCATGCCATTGATCCCACACACTCTTACCAATACAAATGTGTGAGTGGGAAAAGAAATGCTGAGGAAGTGGGTGGTGGTTGATCTTCCCAGGCATATATTTGAATGGTATTATTGGATCAGATCACTAAAATCAGATGGATAATATTGTGATTTTTATTTTATTGAAGTTTTGGCTAGACTGGATGGATATTAAATTTCCCTTGTTACCCTGTAAAATAAATGTTATTCCTGTTATTCAAAATTGAGCTAATCATCCCCAAATATCGAAATTATAATAAGACTTTAGGTAAATATTTTGCACATCTAAAATTAATGCATTTTGAACACCTGCTCTTGACACATACCTTGACAAAGCATTAAGTGTAACATTGCCAGGAAGGAAAAAATTATGAAATAATAGCTTTGTATATTCAATTCCCTATCTAGATACTTGAGAAACCGTGAATAATTTGATGTCAAAGGGTGAATTTAAATATTTGATAATTGAAATCACTAGTAAACTCAGGTAGCATGCAAACAGTTCATAATTTCCCAACCTGAAAATATTACATTGAATATAATCACATTTTTAATGTCATGTGTGTTAATCTACTATTAAAGCATTATTCAAACTAAATTTACTCATAAAGTTATTAAGTCTAAAAAGATCAGGTAGAACAAATATTCCTTTTTAGATACTTGGGATCATGCACTCATTTTAATATTAAATAGTAAATATATGTAAATAAACATAACTTTAATTAAAATAACAAAATAATAAAAAATTTCAAGATGTGAATTGATAGCAATAAAGAATTTATATTTAAAATGTAGTGCATTTTTCTTATAAATTTGAATCATTAAGATGTTACCAAATCAATATAGTTTCCAGGGACCTTATTATTTATTTTAAGGTGATAATTTATTTGGAACAGTGACTTAATTTTATCAGATAATTTCCTCATCTTCAACTATATTTTTACCATGACTTCAAATGAATTTATAATGCTTAAATTTTGCCTTGTTTATTCTTCATGATATAAAGGCAATAAAAGGGTACTTCAAAATGTCCACAGAAAATGGAATTAAGAGATGAGTTTCTTTTGGTGCAAAATAATTTGAAATCTCTGCATAGATTTTTCATAATACTCATATATCATGAAATTTTTGAGACTCCTTTTATGGGTTCTTTCAAAAACTATCACTATTTTCCTCTTCGATTTTGTAACTTTTGTTTCCAGATAAATGAAATGTGTTTCTATTGTCCAAGGAAAGAAAAGGCTTAACTCTCACTGCTTAATAATAATGCTATTACTGTTGGCATCATGAGTTGGAAAAGAAATATGATTTATAATAGTTTAAATGCATACAAACACTAATCTGTTTATTTTTGTTTATAATTTCAGAAACAAAGAAATAGCATGGCATGAAACATGGCTCAGTTTTATTACAAAAGAAATGTTAATGCTCCCTACAGAGACCGCATCCCTCTGAGGATAGTAAGAGCAGAATCAGAACTCTCACCATCAGAAAAAGCCTATTTGAATGCGGTAGAAAAAGGAGATTATGCAAGTGTCAAGAAATCTCTAGAGGAAGCTGAAATTTATTTCAAAATCAATATTAATTGCATTGATCCTCTTGGAAGAACTGCTCTCCTCATTGCCATTGAAAATGAGAACTTGGAGCTCATTGAACTGCTGTTAAGCTTTAATGTTTATGTTGGAGATGCTCTGTTACATGCAATCAGAAAAGAAGTCGTCGGAGCTGTTGAGCTGTTATTGAACCACAAAAAGCCAAGTGGAGAAAAACAGGTATATGCAAAATACAGTTTTTAATTTATTCTACCTGCAGGTTTCTTTAGATACTGATTTTTCAAAACTTTTAAGAAATGTGACCATCAAAATTAGAACTACTATAATAGAAAATTATTATCAAGTATACCCTTCATGTCCTATATTAGCTCGTGCACTTTGTGCCCTGGCAAATCATACATAATTGTGAAAACTAAAGAAGAAAAAAAACAATGCATATAGACTTCTCATAAATTACAGCATTTCTGTGTAATGCTGCAAAGATTATGTTGTTGTGGCTTAATGTGCATGTGTGGGTGTTTTTCTTCTTGTCTTTCATTTTCAAGCAATCTACACTATAGTTTTATTATTTTCCTATTTACCTGTCCTATGACTATACAAGGAATACTCAAAAAGTTCATGGAAAATGTGTATTATTAAGAGACTATTTATGGACTTTAAATTTAACCCAATTTTTAATTCCATTTTCCATAAACTTTTGAAGTACTTTGTGTGTTCTTTAACAAACTCTAATGGACCATTTTAAATTGAAATTTAAAGATAAAAGCAAAAATGATTATTAAAAAATAACAGAACTATGCCTGAGAACCTAAATATATAAAACTTATTAATTACCAAGGTATAGATATATTTTGTCATCAACAGAAAATATATTAAAATGACACACAATTATAAATATTACATATTTTTGTTCTTCTATCCTTAAGGATATGGAGAAATCATAGGCAGGAATGAATAAGGAGTATTTTTTGTCTCTTGAAATCCTTTCGTGTGTTTTTGCTCTTTATCTGTCCCGAATATTGATTTATTTTCTTTTTACATTGAATTCTTCATTTCTCTGCATTCAGGCTGATTAATTGCAAAGCTACCATAGATAGACTGTGGCTTCTAATCTGTCTTTTAAAGTAGATTCTTAAGAAATGGATGCTATTAGAGCTCTTGCAATTTCTACCCTATTGATACTATGCAAGTCTCTATCTCTGCAAATGATAGACTGCTATGAGGTGTGACATTCTTTACCAGCAAACTTTTGATGACAATTCTTGTTGTTAATAGAAAGAGAGCTTCATGACTGAGTTTTTCAGAAGCCCGTTTTCTCTGTTTCTAAGTCTCACATCCATTTACTTCTTCCCTTTATCCTTTTATTGATAAAATACCACTCCACAAAACCGTATTTTAGCTTGTTGCCTTCCTAGTTCATTTTTGGTTGGTTCACACATAATTGTTTATAGATTGACTTCTTATGTTGATAAAACTTTGCTGATAGGAATACCCCAGTGTTTCATCATTTCACACTTGAGCATAAGGAGTAGACGGGTTATAGTGATGTCTAAATTATTTTTTGTTTTATTCTAGTTTTTTATTACTAATGAGCACAGATCAGGTGCATGGGGTTGTATAAGAGCATTTTTATCTGCATAAGTTTAAGACAATATTGCCATAACTATCTTTTATTTGGAAATTCATTCCACAATCATTTCCCTGAAGCATTTACATTTTCTAATAGCACTTATATACTATTGTATATTGATTGTTTTGTTTATATAGACAACCAAAAGACAAATGGGACTGTGATGCTGACCATTTTGAATTATAGCATACATATCAAACAAAACTGCCATTAAATGTGTAATCTGGGGACCAGCACAGTGGCATAGCAGGTAATGCCGCTGCCTGAAGTGCCAGCATCCCATATAGGCGCCGGTTCAAAACCCAGATGCTCCACTTCTGATCCAGCTCTCTGCTAAGGTGTCTGGGAAGGCAGTATAATTTGGCCCAAGTCCTTGGGCCCCTGCACATGCGTGGGAGACCTGGAAGAAGCTCCTGGCTCCTGGCTCCTGGCTCCTGGCTCCTGGCTTCAGATTGGCGCAGCTCGGGCCATTGTGGCCAGTTGGGGAGTGGACCAGTGGATGGAAAACCTCTCTCTCTCTCTCTCTCTCTCTCTCTCTGCCTCTCCTCTCTCTGTGTAGCTTTAACTTTCTAACAAATAAATAAATCTTTAAAAATGTGTAATTCATGTACTAAAAAGCTTTTTAGTTCTATTTTCTGGAGAACATTGGCCATCCCTTTCAATATCTCCTTAGTCAATGACATTTGTGCAGACTAGAAGATATCTGCTATTATGAGAGTGTTTTTTGGAAGATGTTTAACTTCTAACCCAAACTCTAGTCTCACAAGTAGGTCTGGCTCCTTAGAGGCACTTGATCTGGACCCTGATTATTAATAAAAGGCTGTAAAGGCTTGCAATCTGCCAACAGTCTGAAATATCCCAGGCCATGTGTTTCTGCAAGTTTTCTCTTGTATCAGTCTGCTGGCCAAGAATTCCTTTTCTATTTGTACTTTAGAATTCCTCTTCAGTGAAGGCAGTGAGAATAAACACAAATTGTCTCTTTTTGTTTGAACTTTACAATTTTGAAATAGCAATTCCAATCTACCTCCAGGTTCCTGGTATTTTATACAATGAAAGTGAAAATTTAGCAACTTAAAATGTACACAATATTGCACACAAAAGATGTCCTCAGGGCTTGAGCTGTCAAACCCCATTACAGAGTGACTGTTTATCTGTGATTTTTTTTTAAGAGATTTGTTTATTTTTTTGGGAGACAGAGTTACAGTCAGAGAGGGAGAGACACAGAGAGAGGGAGACTTTCCATCCTCTGGCAAACTCCCCAAATGACCACAAAGGCAGGAGCTGAGCAAGTCCTAAGCCAGAAGCCAGAAGCCAGGAGCTTCTTCCATGTCTCCCACGTGGGTGCAGCAGCCCAAGCACCTGGCTTTTCCTCCACTGCTTTCCCAGGCCATTAGCAGAGAACTGGATCTGAAGATGAGCAGCTGCAACATGAACCAGTGCCTGTATGGGATGCCAGCACCATGGTGGAGGCTTAGCCTACTACGCCACAGCACTGGCATCTTATCTGTGATTTTCTTAGGTAACACATCTGCTTAGTAAGGCTAGCATCTTTTTGAATGGCAGCTTCAGTAAATCAATGTGTTTTAGGGAGCAAGTATACTTTTGACAGGATTTATTTTCTTATAAGGTGACATTTTTTGTTAATTCATGTGATTGTTGAAATCTATTTCAGGTAATATTATAACTCATGCAATTTTCATCATCATAGGTATTCCCAAAGACGATGGAACATATTGTATTAATCTTGTTGAGGTCATTAAAGTCAAGTGATAAAATCTAAAACAATAATGTCCAAGCAGATAAAATAAAAGTGACTTCTATTAAAATAAGAAAGTGCCTCAAAAAACTTAGAAAATGTAATTAAAAGATGTTTATTCTGGTGAAAACAGCTTTGAAATATGTACTTTTTTTTCAAAATATGCATTTCCATGAGCTTTATAAGGTCCCTTATATAAATTCAATTTTTTGCACCAAAATAAATTTATCTTTAATGCAATTATCCACACTTTGTTACCATATACAAAAAGTCATTCAAATTTTATAAATTACTAAGATTCTAAAATATGATAACTGTTTATGTGAAATACATTCTTTTAGAAATGTGTCACATATCAATTTATTTCACTGGAAAAGATTCAGTGTTCAATGTCATCCTCAGATTGTGGGAGCTATGAGATTTCAAATGCATGTGTGTATGCCTCAGGTATATTCTCACAGAATAATTTTGTAAGCCTGCTCTGCCAGGCATTGTGCTGGGTGCCAAGGTATAGTCATAGTTCTGTTCTTCAGGATCTTAAGGCCTAGTTATGAAGAGAGATACAGAAAAAGTCATGGAAATAGGAATAGAAATAATTATAAAAGAAAAAATGAAAGAAAAGTAAATGCTTAGGTAATTATAAAACTAAATAGACTGGATTTAGTAAATACAGTGTATTATCTGATAGACAGCCTAGGATCAGAAGGGACTGACAAGAAGAAAAGGAGAATAATTTCAGATTTATACCTTGGGATATTTATGCCCTGGCACATCATTCCCTCAGTCTGAGACTATGAAAAAATGTTTACGGGACTGGATTATCTATGTTTAGTTTTTGACTTTTTGATGTTGACATCAAAGAATTAATTATAAATGTTGGACCTCTGAATTGGATCTGTGGTATATAGATGAAGACACTAAAGCTCTGTATCTTTGACGTCGATTTTCTCTTCTAACACAAATTGTAGAAATATGCAATTTTTATTATATTAAATAGAATAGTTAGATTTTACCAGGTAAATAGATGGACATGGATCATTAAACATTTTCTTATATGTTTCATGTAAAACTTACTTTGCACATTAGAGTACTGAGTTCTCAATTTTTTTTTAAACTGCTGTAGAACATTAAAAAGGGAAATACTTAGTTCATTTCTGTCAGAGAACCACTGGCTCGTTACACTCAGCAGGAGATAGAACATTATGGTTCGTACTGGGAATACTCCCTTGCTAGAATTACACTGATACTCTCTGATGATTTTACTGAACCTTTCTTTAACCTTCCTAGAGCTTTATTTCTCTGGAGGGAATAACTGAGACTGACTTCTTAGCCTCTTTTCCAGTCTACTGATTGGTTACTTGACTTTTAATTATTTCTAGAAGACCTTTCTCTTGAATGTCTTCTAAGGCCAGATTCAATTCCAGTTTCACCTGCTTCAGTAAATGTTTATCAGAAGAATTTGCTTTTCCATTCTTTACTTAGAACACTATTTTTCAAGGGTTAGCACCATCATAATCTTGGAGGCCTTCTTAAAACTAAGATACCTGGACTCTACCCACAGAGTTCCTACCACAGCAAGTCTAGAATGGGACTCCGAGGTTTGTTCTAAAAAGTACTCAGGTTATGTTAATCCTCACAGTATAGAGGCAACATTTTGAGAAACAATGACTTAGAGGACATTGAAAGTATGGAGTAGCTACAGATGCCTAATTTATACTAGGTGTGCTCAACTACACTACACTACCATGATTTTCAGGGGACGCCAATTAATTTCCTTAGCTATTATCTATTCATTGCTATTTAATATATGAAGATTTCTAAATTTCAGTAACA